AAAAAAAAAAAAAAAAAAAAAACAAACAACAAACCCTATAATCAATCTTTTGAGTTGTCATAGATTGGTTTGTTATGCTGCTGGACTCCAATACCAGCCAGTTATGGAGGTCTATCAAATATGCTGCAGTAAAGACATCTACTGCTTATTACTACAGAAGGTATTGGATAATAAAACTTAATGGTTGCTTAGAAATCTTCAATTCAAATACGCCAGCTGAAATCTTCTATACTATGTGATGCCTCACAAACTTCTCCATAAACATTTTGTCTGTTTCTGAAAGTGAAATCAGAAGACACTGCCTGACTGCTCAATCCACAAGCTGAATTGCTACTGATCATAGTTAACTATTACAGTCACTGTACAAAACGGGAATTTTATATTAATGAATAAACAGAAAATGATTACACAATTTGAAGTTTATGTTACAGTGTAAATGGGCTCAGGATGCTAATGTTCCCCATTTTTCAGTTTGACAGAAGTTTCACCAGATTTTGGACGCAATTTTCTAGGTAAAAAAGCTTCCTAAGGAATCGAAAAATCCAATACTTTTCATCTTTTCCTCTTCATTAAACACCCAAGGCTGTCTGCTTCTTCATCTTTTCCAATGCTTTCCCAGTACCTGACGGAAACCAGCAACTTTTACCTTCCCCCACTTTGTACTTTCACTTTTCTTCCACTACTCAAAAGCCTGATTTCTCAACTGTTTCCATGCCTGCCAGTCTCCTTCTTCCTTTGCACAGGGCATAAGCCACAAGGGGGACAGGAACACCCTCCTGCCTCTTCTTGACCGCGGTATCACGATGACCCCTGGCTGCCAGAAGGAGAAATTTTGGACTGCTTTCTCAGCGTGACAGGGCTTGATGCTCTAAGACAACTGGTGCATCCAAATGAAGTACCTACTGAAATGTGCAGCTTAAGTTTTCCACCAACTCAGAATTCAGCTAAATTTTTCCCCGACATTATGGAAAGCATATTGTAGGGATCACAGTTATCTCACCAAATTTGATTTGCTTCTTCAGAGATCGAAGCAAAACCAACCTCTTAACAACTGAATTGTAAAAATATTCTTCCTCTTTCCCTCGCAAACAGATCCAGTTTTAACTGATGTCTTAAAAAAAACCCAAAAATTCAGCCTTTGACAGACTTGGCACAAAAAATTTCAGTATTAAGAATGGTAATACAGTGTAGAATGACTTTTGTAGAAGGTATTGCTATATACACTGCAATGCAACCTGAAAACATGAATTTGCTTTCTAAAAGTAAAAAAAAAAAAGAAAAGAGCAATTCATTACTTACCTACTGAAAATCACCAAAGCCAGTGTTTAGTAACCGACCATTCCGTGGGTAGTCTCTATTGCCACTATTAAAGCTACGTTAACATTTGACTTGGTAGTCATCCATTTCTTAGCAGAATTTTTACAGTAAGATCAAATGCATAATAAAGTTCACACCTATTTAAAGCAAACTCCTACGTATCAAGTTTAAGAGTTACATGGAACTTACCGAATAGTTTGAAGAGGAATGCGTACCTTCTTCACAATGATATCATAAAGCTGTTTGTTTCTTTAAAAAAATATTTAGTTGAATTAAGCATTATATATTCCACAAAGTGTTTCCAGTATCTACATAGTCAGAAAATAAAATACAAGGCAAAAAATGCCTCAGTTGTGTCAGAACTGCTGCAATACCTAACAAGTTCCCCAAATGCATAAATAAATTTAAAAAAAAAAAGACCAAAACTGGTCTTTGTTATACATCATTATAAAGGCACAAGTATGGCTAAATCACAGCCCATTCCATAGCAAGTCATTGTAGAAAGCACATTTATTCCCACCTGAAACTGATGATAGGTTTCTACAGACAAGATGTAATTATTGATGTAACAAGTGGTTTAGAGTGAGGAAAGTTACGCTGAGACAGCATAAATCCAAGTTTATCCAGCTGTTCTTTAAAGAGAACTTCTGCAGGCTGTAAGCTTGACTTGTTCTGAAATTTAATGGGAGAAAATCTAAACAGAAAGGATCTCTACCCCTTTCTAATCAGGTATTTGAATGAGATGAGATTCTCAACATCCGTATTTTCAAGAGACCCACTTTTCAGTTCAGGAATTACTGCATCTAAAATATGCTCAAAGCAGAGCTGGCGACTCTCTGGAAGGAATTGTACTGGTGCTCCAAAACTGGCCACAGAGCACTGTGAGCCCAGCTCAACCCATATTCAGCTTCAGTTCAAGGGAAGCTATGTGGGTTCAAGGTAGAACCACCCTGTGCCACACTGAGCTACTGATGTGATATGGTGACTAGCAGTAGTATCTCCAACCTCAACAGTTAGATCTGGAAGGTATTATGCATTCACATCTTTAAAGATTTTTAAGATGCCTATTACTGTGATCTATAAAACACCAAAAATTCAAACAAAGAGCTAATATAAAACTTACAGCTTCAGAGATACTTTAAACACAGCTGGAGTGGGCTATAGCTTCTGACAAAACACTGTCAGGAGAATAAGGACAAGGTTTAAACAGAAAACATTTTTAGAACATGCAGAAAACAATGTAATTTAAGAATCCATATACGGTAACTTAACAACAAAACCTTTGAACTAATAAATATATGTAAGTTTATTCCTAAAGAATTAAAAAAAAGAATGCAACAAAAACTCTTTTTCAATGTAACAGTGATGGTAACAGTGTATTTTACAAACTGCAAAGTCCATGTATCCATTTAACACTTCTCAAAATAAAAGCAAACACAAGAAAATGGAAGCAAGATAATTAAGTAAGCAGTACCTGAAAGCTACAGATTCCAATATGGCTCGTACAAGATGGTTTCTGGTAGTGGAAGGTTTCAGCCCCATGAAAGAGGCACATAAATAGGGGTCATTCACAGAAATCTGCAGAAAAGATTTCACCGTGAGTTCAGTGAATTGTATTTGTGGGCTATTGAGAAAGGAGTCAAATAATAAGGAAAAAAATAACTTACGACAACTACAGGCAGCATAGTGAAAGAAGAAAATTGAAAACAATATGTAAGAGGTATATAGTGTTATTTTAACTGACTCAGTGTACAGTTTAAATAGCTTCTTTCAACAGGAAAAAGGTTTAAGTGACTTCTTCCAAATCTGAAATACTAAATAACACTTATCTGTGTGACTTCTCTTCAAAATACGTATAGCGTACACTTTAAGTGTCTAGGACAGGGCACACTGACACAGCTGTTCTCTAGCAAAACTTCACACACATTTTGTTTTGGGTTTGGTTTTTTTTGTAAACGCTCCCAAACTGGTGAAAAAAAGATTAACTGAATTTCAAAAGTAACTCACTGAAAAGGATGGTAACACTTTTTATTAGTTTATACTACAGCCTGTTTTCAGTGACACTGATAAACAGAGTCCAATGAAATTCTAATGGTCACTAAATTGTCTATTTTTTCTTGCAGAACTGGAGGATTGACTCATGAATCTCCTCTCCACTCCTCTGATGAACTTTATCACAAAATATTAGTTTGCTGGTCCATACCAGGTTTCTGACAAATCTTATTTTCAGTGGAGACAGTAATTTTAAAATCAAAACAATCCTTTCCAGTTGTATTATGCTAAATATCAATTATCACAACACTTACCAGTAGTTTGAATTTCATGCTTATAAGATATATACTTGCATATTTATAAAGTAAATTAAGAAAATCTAACATGTTAAAAATAAGTAAATATATGAATAGGTACATACAGCCAAAAGGAAAACTGTCATTTTGCAAAAGTTCCTAAATGGAACAAACTTCTGCATTACAGTAAAACACTTTTTTTTCTTTTCCATATACAGGTACCCTTCCCCTTCTAACAATGGAACCACTTGTCCAGCCCAGTAGCATAATAAAGACCCATGGCTTCCAAGTTTACACATGTTCATATACAAGATAATAAACTGAAAAGCATAGCCTCATATTCTACATAAGGATGAGTATCTTAAGACTCAATTGTCAAAAAAAAAAAGCAAGAAGCACCTATACGTACACACCCCAGTGAAGAGTCTTAAGTTTTTCCTCTTACTACTAACCACAGCAAATTACACCTGGAATCCCATGATTCTAGCAGAATGAGTAAGAGGAAAAATGACTAATTCATACATTCACCCAATTTCAAATACACTTTCGCAATGATACTCCTCTCAGTGCACTTCGTCACAGCAGAAGAATCCAGTAAGAAAGAAACTTGTTCTTATTGTCTCAACACAGACGGGTAGAGCAACATTTTACTTTGAGTAGTAAATGGGCTTCCTAAGAACCCCTCCAACCGCTATCATTTGGAGGTGTAAGAAACACTACCATACCACCCCTTTGTGTGAGCATCTAGCCAGTGAAGCTCAGCAGACGCGTTACCGTCCCAGAAGTCTTCGCCTCAGCCCACATCCTTTTTCATACCATTTAATCCCCTCAGTTTCTAAATTGATACAGATTCTGCTACTGGGAGTCTACCAGCTAAGCACCTTCCACTGAAATAAGCAAGGCTTTCAAAGGGCAAAGAAATTCACATTGGTGGATAATATTAGTAACCAGATGTCACAGTTAAAGAGAAATTAATTCAGTTTTCTAAGTACAGCTTCTAAATTTGGACTAGGAATACCAGAATTAGGGAAAAAGAGACTGAATCAATGTTTACCAAGAAGCTAGCTGGGCTTCTTTCTGGAGACAGTGTCAAGACAGCAAGGGGGAGACAAACCCCAAAAGCAAAACAAAAACCAACCAACCAAAAAAAGAGGTTTTACCAACATCTCTAGCGCTTGAATATTAATAGAATTAAAGGTTCAAAAAAGATTCAGACTAACATTTGTACACCTCAGGATTCCTGTCTGCAAATACTGAAATTTGGCATGGCTCAACATTTGCTTGTTCACAGGACAATTACTCACAGTAAATGCTAAATGGAAGCATCTCAGCATAATCAAGCTTTATACCCATAAAAATAAATGATTTGGCCAGCTGTTTGAGAGAAGATAGCTGGGCTACCTGTGGAAGAAATGAAATTTTTCTTTGCCTTGTTCCACTAACATACTGGACTTACACAAAGGTAAGGTTAAAAATGTTAAATTCCTTTAGAAAAAAAACTAGTCCTGGGAATGATCAAACCAAGTATGGTAGACCAATGAAGATCAAAATAATATACACTTTGGGACCAACACAGAGAGATAAGCTGTCAAGAACATTCCATGTAGCCCTAAAATGTATGTACTCAAGCTAACAAATTACTCTCTAAGACTTCTAAGAGAAAAGAGGTGGTGGTGATTTTTGAGGAAAAAAACTAAAAGACAAAAGAAGAGAAAGAATGCTATTTTCATCTTAATGGCTTTTCTTTGTCTGGGTAACACGGTAACTTTTAAACACCTGAGAGGTTCAAATATATGTCTATGCACCAAAGAACCAGCTGATGGCAAATGTTATTCAATACCCACCACACAGCAACAGTTTTCCCTTCATCTTGCCTGGCTCACGCATCCAATACAGTTTCTAATGCTAATATTCCAAATGACAACTTGGAATAGAGACCAGGGCTACACCAAACAGTTTCTCCTGGACAGCAATATTGATTAGAAAAACAAAGTTCTGTGAAGATGTATTTTCATACTGACAAACACCCAACGTAGAAACAGCTATGCTGCTCTCCGTGTGCTTTAGTCAGACAATCTCCTATTATTTAGGAAAGTGGCATAACTAGATGGAAAAGTTTTGGGGGCACTCAGCACAATCCCTAAGCTGGCAATGGGTACATTCGCAAATCATTCTGTATGAAAGTTTAACCAAGGGGTCTGACTTGCAGTTCTGTCGTATTTTGCGGTGACAAATTATAAACTATTATTACCAACTGTGAAACCCACACTGGAAGCAACTGCTTTGTTGCTGAACAGGCAGTATGTCAGCTACCCAGCTATCACAGTTTGTCACTTAATGTATTAACTGGAATTCCCATCGATTCTAATCTAGACTAATATGCTAGACTGAACTGCAGTATCAGTATCACCCTTGTTGCTGCCTCTGCACAGGGACAGTAACTCACATCTGTAATGAAGCTCAGGAGGGATCATGAATCAGAGATGGAAATGACAGACATGAGAATACACAGGTGTCTAGCATAAATGGAAAGCAAGTAGAAAAAACATAGAGCTTGTGTCCCAGAGGGGATCAAATAATTGCAGGAAGTTCCTCGCATAGAGAGGAAGGTGAAAGCAAGCTACTGGGAAATGGAGGGGATGAAAGTGGAGAACAAATGCCAGGAGCTTCATACTATACACACTGTGCTCAGCAACAAGGCACAAACCCTATTTTAAAGGGAAAAATCTAATTCAGATTAAAATCTGCATATTCAAGAAGTGTCTAAATATTACTGTCTTTGTAACTGTAACTGTCTTTTCGTAACACCAGGACTTCGATCTTGCTCATATATAAGGACGGTTAAATATTCTGATGAATTGCAACCTACATCTTGAAAAGAGGCAGAATAAAATGAATTATTTTAGAACGGTGCTTTGCATATGGCAGAAAAGCTACAGGATCAGTTGCTGCCTCTGCAGGCACCGCCTGAGACACTGTGGGCAAGTCATTTAGCTTATCCGTCCCCCCAGGTCTCCGTCTGCAAAATGGAAGTAATTTTACTATTCTGTAGGGTTTTTCCCATGGGGGAGTACTGTTTAAGCATTCTTACGTGACAGGGACCTTCATATATTGTGGTGAGGGACAGAGATTAAGAATCTGAGTAGTACAGAATAAATACTGTGCTAAGATGAACATTACTACATTTAAACATGTAAAAGTTATAATTTTAACTGGGTTATTAAAATTATATTCTAAGTTATATTAATAATGATAATTTTACCTGAAAACCTGGAACAAAACAAACGCCTTGAGAATCAACAATACTCCGTGCCATTTTTTCTGTTTCATCTACATTGGTGAAAAGATCTGTAAAGATGCATAAGTCATATGCTTTTATTATTTACTCCAATTTCTTCATATATTACTAAGAGACAAAAAAAATCTAGAGTTAGACTATTTCCTTTGCTAATAGTCTCGAAATACACGTTCCAGGGGAAATGATCACTTCTCCTGTATTTCATGTCCACCAGTCACATTATAAAAAAAATAATAATCCTATTCATATGAAGACTAAATTTAACAGATAAGAAGATCCTTTTATGCTATAGCTTTTTAATTTTCACATCCTGTAAGAGATCATTTGCTGTCCAAATGGACATAAATAGTAATTGAGAATGCTAACAATGGCACCCTAAGTATGCTAAAAACCTTGATTTGCATAACATAAAAAATGTTCTTTCCCCCCCAAAGGTATTTTTATTGTCAGCACAAGCGTCAAATGACTACAGAGGCAGTCCTTAATACCCATCATATTTCATCAGCACCCTTAATATTTTTACAAGTGACTGACACATAAATATAAATAAGGTAGGTCCTAATATCACCTCTTCGATAGATGCTGCTTTTATTCTTTGTCTAGCTGGACAAATCCTTTCACAACTCTACAGACATCCCTCTTTAGCTTCTTCTTTACCCACACGCAACTGCATGTGCTAGAAGATCCTTGTACTAACACCTGTCTTCTGCAGTTTTAGCTAATAATGTCCTTATGTGGCCACATAATGTGTTTTTAGAGAAGACTAGACGTCTCCTGTAAATGACAGATACTGCTTTTTCTTGTGTAAAGAGTAAATTTTCCCTAAGATAAATGAGGTTCATCTAGCTCAATCTATCTTTGAAATATCCATCTTGGTAACTCACCAGGAGTTTCAATTTACCTTTGTAACCTTCATAAATTTGTTTGAAAGTTTTGGATTCTACTGTGCCCAGACTAATAAACCTAAATTACATCTTTTCCTTCTTGTTGTGTTTGCTATTACTGAACTACATATAATACCTCTATGTCGGGACAAAAAATGAAAAAAATCAAGTAAGATTGACTTCACCTTGAATTTCTACATACTTCTTTTTCAAAATTCTCAGAAGTGATCTGATCCCACTAAAAGAAACTCATTATATTAAGTTTGTCTTGCTGCTGAAATTCCTATTTCCAGACCTTTTCCACTATTACAGGTTTCACTTTCATCCACGTTGAGCATCCCCATCCTTACTGAGGCATTAGCTTACTTTGTGTTTTAGCCCAACTCCTCCTGTAGGGCAAAAGTTTTACCCTTCTCTTTATTCAGAAAGCTGGCAAGTTTCTGAATTCTGCTTCTCTGTGATTATATGTCCAGAAAATAAAGGTCTTGCTTATTAGAGGGTTTATAGCAGCACGCCTGTTTTTTAATCTCCCTCTAAAACTTCCCCAATTTTTACCCGTGGTAACAATTGTAGGTCATCCCCGTTTCACTACTGGCTAGCTAAAACCCCTTTAAACAATTGCTCTGCATACACCAATAATATCCATTTTAAGTACAGATAAATTCTACATGGAGACCCCACCTGGGGTCCAGTAGTACTGTGCCCAGCCCTAGGGCTCTCAACAGAAGGAGGACATGGACCAGTTGGAGCAAGAGGTGGGCCATGAAGACGATCAGAGAGGTGGAGCACCTCCCCTATGAAGACAAGGCTGAGAGAGTTGGGGCTGTTCAGCCCGGAGAGGAGAAGGCTACAAGGGAGACCTTAAGCAGCCTTCCAGGAGGTCTACAAGAAAGATGGGAAGGGACTCTTTCAGGGAGTGTAGTGATAACACGAGGGGTAACAGTTTTAAACAGAAAGAGGGGAGATCTGAGTCATACTTAAGCCTTAAGGGCACATACACGAGTGTGTATACACACAGATGCACCAGAAGTTGACAAATTCAAGAAACGTGGAACTTTATAGCGAGCTACGCTTCAGGAAAACCTTCCCCAGAAAACCCAAAGTTTGAAACACTAGTTCCTTTTTTGCACTCTAGTGTACCAAATTTCTAAGTAAACCAAATAAATATGTTTATAGGACAACATTTCTGAGTGTCCTAATAAACAATCAGTGGTTTTGAACACCAACTACTTTACTTAGCCTTTTATTAACCTGGAGTATCTTTCCATTACATAAGTCACAGCCAAAAGCCACATTACTTCTATGTGAAACAACACATACAGCACCTTTAAGTGTACAGTTCTTCACATAATTTTCCTATAACTCAAACCTGTTCTCAGTTCTGAGATGTACAGCTAGAGATCTCTCAAAAGCATTACAGCAACTGTTTGTGGAACACTGCATTTACAATCATGCTAGTAATTAGTAGTCAATTGCTGTGCTTCTCCTCAACAGAAAATTCAAGTTCCAATACCCTAAACACACATCTAACTGCAGACAGGTCTCCTTATTTCCAGGTCTGGATATCAGGTTAAAAAAAGCCAACAAAACAAAACAAAAGAAGGCATCAGGAAGTTTGTCACACCCAAGAGAAAGCAAGTGAGGAGCAAAATGTTCCAGGAAAACAAAAGCCTACGGAGGTAGGAGGGTCTGAGAGGCAGAGTCTGATGAGATGATTGTGCAAATCAAACTTCCTGCAGTGAACTCACTCAGCAGAGAACCTACTAATGAGACTGCATTTTCTGCTCATCCAAAACACGTAGCTTGTTTCTTCAATTACGGGTTACAAACCCAAACCCAGTAACATAACTGAAACCTCATAAAACAGTTTCTTATGTAGTAATATATTCTACCCTCTACAAAACCAAAGAACTACTTACTTATATCCTGAGCCCATCTTATGGCGGTGCCAATGTCTGACATACAGCCTTCAGTTAAGTAAACAACTTCTTCCCCAATCTTCCAACCGATCAGTGGATACAGACCTTAATGATTTTCCACAAAACAAAACAAAATACCTAGTTAAATTAAATGTTTACAGAAAAATATATCAGCACACACCCCCAAAATAAACCCAAAAGGTAGTTTTTATTCAATTCCTTTGCAGAATTAAAGCTCAAAAACCATCACTGGTTTTTTAAACACTGATTAAAAATTTAGTAATGGAATTAAAAGAGACTCGAACAACACTTTGTTAAATCAAAGTTAACTTAAAAAAAAAAAATCCACTCAAATCACCCTCCCCCCCCTTTAAGCTAAAGGGAAGAACTATTTGCACTTCTTTTCAAACGATAAGAGATTATATACACTTAAAAATTTGTCAGTGTTTTCCTATTTGTTTTCAATGTATCTAATTTTCCCCAATGGTTAAAAAGTCAGAATTTACTTCCCCAAACGTAAAACATGAAGGCTGGGGTTTCAGATGGGAAGCACAAACATTAAAACAGACATTCACAAAAAAACCATAGGCAACACAAACTTAAAACATAGATCATATTCACAGAATAGGATGACAGTGATATACTTTTTAATTCCTTTTTCAATATGCAATGCTTCCTCACATAAAAGGCAAAAAAGAAACCCCGTTTCACAATTAGCCCATCCTTGTCCCCAACAAAGGCTACTGCCAGTTAATTATAGCAATTTACCTGTATGTTTGCCTAAAACAAACAACAAAAGAAACATCCAAACTTATTAAAAATGTTTGGGGACATACTTTATAACTACAAAAGATTAGCACTTCTGTGATTTACATGGTGGAATTTGCAGGAAGTTATGATTTCCACCAAACAGTTTTGGCTTTTGACTGACTCAAAAAAAAAATTTTCAATGACTTTGAATTTTTTTTTTTTTCTTATCTCTAAGAAGTAAGGCAGAAATACATAGAGCAAACACTTTTAGTTTATTTGAAAACACAGTACAGCATCTTTCAAAGAGCTGTCTGCTTGAAGATACTATTACATGAACAGCCAATAATGAGGATACACCTAATGGTTTGCTCTCCCCTTTGCCCTCCACTCCTCCTTAGATATGTTGAAACCTTAACAAAGAAAAGAGAGATATAATACTTAAAACCGTCAATGTGAACACAAAGACATTCTTGTTTGATATCTGCATTAGCAAGGACATAGCACAAAAGTCCTCTAGAGTACTGCTTTTAATGCTAAACCAAAAAAGACTTTATTATCTAGCTGAACAGTAGATGTTCTCTAGCACTGCAGCTCGACAAACGGTTTTTCAGGTCACACGATAAGAACCTAAGCACTCAGTGGCCACTGCAGTGAGTAGTTCACCCAACCCAAGTACCATAACTGCTGGAGTGAAGAAAGCACCCAGACCTTATGGGACCCTGCTCAGGACCTGGAGATCATGGGTAATGCAAAGGCAAATGAGTCCCAATAACTATATGACCAGAAAAACACCAGAAGGATCTAGAGATTCTCTCCAGTCTCTCAAGGTAATGTTGCTGATATACCAGTGTTTCTCACAAAATCATCTCCAGTTTGCTCGCCTGTGTCCAAAAGAGCAGCATGGTACCACTAGTGCTAGAGGCACGCTGGTGCTTACAAGGGAAGACAACTAGCACAACCTATTTAGATTAAAGTTTGTATTTGGCTCTTGAAAAGGTGATATATATATACCTCCAGATCCTCAGTGCAGGGCTCCTTTACAATCTTTATTTTCTACTGAAGGTGAAGCTGCAAAGCAGCAAGACCTAAGAATTCACTGAGCCAAAAGTCCTATAGAAGGACAGTTAATTAGGGACAGAGAACTCCTTCAGGTGGCCTTCCTAAAGATGGACACACCAGAAACTCTAGTAGTGTAAAATAACCTACCTCTAGGGAAGAAATCAACATGACTTGGCATGACCACAGTTCTTATGAACTAGCAGACTGCCAGAGAGGTAGAGTCAAAATCTATACAACACGTTTCCACCACTGAATTGTGAGAGGTGCTGTTCTCAAAGGAACCTTTTTTTTTTTAACTGTCATATATAGCAACTAAATGTAGATCAGAAACCAGAACAGCAGCTAATGAATAGCTCACGCAAGGATACTGCAGGGATTCATCTTGCAGTCTTAAATACATGTGTCAACTTTAAAGACTGAACACTTTGCATTTCATGCCCAGGGTATGATAAAGCAAGGCACATAAATGGTCCTACTAACCATACCACACGACAGCCAACGAACATATGGAAAAAATTTTAACATAAATAACAGCCTAAAGCAGTAAAAGTTGCACGGCCTTGAAGATTTCAACTCTTCTTAGACCACAACAGCCATATATTAAAAAAAAAAAAAAAAAAAGAAAAAAAAGAAAAAGGAAAAACCTTACAGCTTGTTTTTGCTATTACATTTCAAAGGCTCCATACATCTGATTTCTTAAGTATCATCATAATGACATCACTAATTAGCCGTAAAAGCATTTGCATTCATAGGGAATTCAATGCCCACGCTATTCAGTTCTGACACATCTCCTGTATTTGCCAAGGCCCTTCCAGGCTTTAGCTGGTAAAAGTGTCCCTAGCACAACACTGCCCTCCCTCTTCAGCCCCACCCCCTCCAACTGTAAACTGTACGCTTCTCGAAATTAGTAACTCCTTAAAAATACGACAGACAGAGAGAGACTGTGAAGGCAAATTTATTTCAGTATCACCTGTTGCTCTCTTGACAAATAGCCATCTATAACAAACAAACAAGCTTAACAAACCACAAACATTCAGAACAACGAAGGTTTGAACACTAGAAATATATTGGGGAGCCCATTTCTAGTATTTTACAAGAAAACCAAGAATTGCTAATCCTGTATTACCTCACTACAGGTACTTCAAAGCATACGGGCTCAAGAGGAGGAACTTCCAGTGATCCACTGGAACATTTTGATGCGAGAAGCCAGAGGACCAATCCCCCTTCTCACCAGCCCTGTACTGTATTACACTACTATCAAGAACAGGTGAAGAAAAAAACCACCACCAAACCAACAAGGAGGGATGCAGGTAGCAGATGTAATTACTAGTGATGTTATTTAAATTCTCTTCTTGAGAAGCATATTTCAGGATAACCAAGATCTATGTTTCTAATGAAAAATTTCCAGTCTTCTGTTCTGAAAACACTTTCAAGCTGTTCTTTCTACAGCTAAAGACAGAAGGGAAAGCAAAGCCCTCTTTTATCCCTTTTCATACTCTCATCATTAACAGTTGTCAAGTAATGTGAAATGCTCTAAATCCAGATTTTCACTTTCTTACCTCTCCGCCCCGCGATGAGACGCTCTCCAGTATTCACATTCCAGAAACCACCCGTTCCCATGGTGAGTTTAACATCTCCTGGGTGAAAGCAGCATTCTCCAAACATAGCTGACTGCTGGTCAGCCACCTGCAGCACCAACAAAAACAACACCACACATTAGCTACCAGCCAACCTGAGACTGCACAATTCTGCAAACACATCAGCGTTCTGAATACAAATAACCATTCACAAAGGAATTAAGCATCAAGAGGGGACTCTCATACAACTTCTTAAGTATTTGCAGCAGTGGGATTTATCACTAGAATCAAATTACACCAGGTTCAGACATAACCTGCAGGTCTGTAGTACTGCTCGCAACACTGAAAAATGTGACAGAAACAGAAGAAATATTTTATGGTTTAGTATTTGACAAGGATAAACAGGGCACTTGCAATCTCAGAGAGCAGAACAGAGTAGTTTGCCTTGAATTCCTCTTCCCCCAAATACAAAGTTGAAGTTTTGAGGTCTCATTTTCCTTTTTCTCTGCCAACTCTCCCGCACCGAATTATTCCATGCTCAGTTTTTCAACAACGATGATGGTTCTTAAATGCATTTACTTATGCTTGTGCCTTGGTGAAACAGTAGATTTACAGATAAATTGAGTCTACAAGTCTTTAAAAATAGTAGAAATTTGTGTAAGCTAGATGACATTTCTTCCATGTAGCTCAATTCAATCATGCTTTTCTGCAAGTCATCACTTTACAAAAACAATGGGGTTTTCTTATCCACATCCTAACTACTGAGGAGAGAACATGTTATTCTTCATTTGTTTTTACTGAAAAAAAGAAATAAAAGTTACCACAAGTGATTCTGTTAACAAATACTCTTACTTTTGTGTGGAGTCTTACTGAAGCCAAGATGGATGGACCCCATTGCACAACTTTATATAGAAAAACTGATTTTAAAGCCCAAAAGAAATGTTACCAGAGCTTAGAACAGAACTTATTCTTTTTAAGTCCTACATACAGTGCTTAATCATTTTGTCATCTGACCTTCATGGGCCTCAACCTTTAGAAATCCCTTCCCTTTCCCCTCTTCCCCTTTTCCCGTAAGGCTGAAAATTGAGCTTTTGGACAAAAGTTCAACAACCAATTCTAATGCAGTTAAGTTGTAGAGATGCAATAGTGAATACTTACTAAACAAACAAGTGTTAAATCCAAGCTAGATAAAAATAATATAGGTACAAATACACAAATTCAAGTAAGAAAACATTTTCACTCACCACTGCCATTATTGGAATAGGTACCCCAAATATTTCAGAGTCAACTGATCCAAAGTTGAAGCTTAAAACAAACGTATGAAGAAACATCACAACACTAAATTAATCTTTTTGTTAAAATGAAATCAAAATGTATAAGGCCTGGGTCTGCTTCATGTATGAAAGATAATGCTACCGATTTATTTTAAAGAAAGCATTAAAACCATCATTTTAAGAAATACTGATAGTAAAAATAAAGTTTTGGGTGTAAAGTTAAAAAAGTACATCTGCATCTAAAAAAAATAATTTTGGATGTGCATTCATGTATTAATTTTTCTGTTCAGATTATGTAATATTTTCTAAAGGCAATTAATTTAATATGTGTCATATTCTTGCAAATAGGTTCATAGTTACCTTGTGTCTTTCACTGGAGGATAAATAGACATTGGAATGGAAAGTAAATTACACAAAGCAGGGTTCCAACATTTCTGAAATAATACAGGAAAAGTAAAAATGTCAGCAACTCTCTCAGAAGGACAATAAATAGCAACATTTTTTCTAGAACAGCACATACGGTAAAGGGTTCAAAAATGCCTGTAGAACTGGCATTTGAGTAATCCGTAGCATACACAGAACCTGTCATAAAAAAACAGAGAACAAAGTAAGATTTTAGGTATCCAAATATTTAAGAATAATTTTAAACATACTTTTTCTTTAAACATTTCAGTGACTTCCATGAAATACAAACCAAGTGTCTCTAAGCAAAATCATAATAATACAATGAACGTACAAACTCTACCTGCCACTCCCTATAATGTCTATATATTAATTACCTTCTTTTAGCCTCATGAAACTGCCCAGAAGAGAGCTGGTACCTTTCACAACACGTACCACACTGGCTGCATCACTGTCTATCGTAATCTATCCAATTGCTCAGGCATGAATCCTCTGGACAGAAACTTGCAATTCTTCCATGTTTGTAACAACTCTGTTCTTTTTCTTTCACAGGTACTTTTCTTCAATCAAGGCCAATTTGTTTCTGTATTCCTCTTTAAATTTTAAATGCTTAAAAGGTTGATTATACTCAGTAATTATTTCCCTTTCTGACTACACCTCCAGATAGGCCCAAAAAAGAATTAATTAAGCAGCTATTTTTTTAAAACAATAAATATAATATTTATCAATTGCAAAAAAAAGCACAAATTGTCAAAAAAGTATTTGCATTCTAGGATGTATCAATAAGTCATGAACATCATTACTTAGATTTCAGTATGTTTGATTAATTTTTAAGAGGAACTGTAACATTCACCTTTAGTCAATCTATACAGTAACCATGTGTCAACCGTTCCAAAGCAGCAGTTATTTTTTCTGGCAGCTTCTTCAGCCTGGGAACAAATATATAAAAAAAAAAAAAAAAGTTTTTACAACTGGGTATAATGAAGAAGAACATAGTTCCTGATTCATCTTGTCATTTTCTTTGCGATTAATAACAACGTTCCCAGAAAACAAGTTTCTGATTGCCAACATTTCTTAAGAAAGGAGAGTCGGCTGTGTAAGTAACATTATCCTACAGTTCCTGCTCCTAGCAAAGAATAAGCAGTTTCTTGTAGTTCCTGCTAAGGAAAGAAAAGCAATTAATCCTCTACTGCAGTGGTATCAGAGGCTTAAGAAGGGAAATTTTATAGTCATAATTATAGCAGTGGTGAATAAAGAAAACAAAGTCCCCCATACTGCACTTAAAAAATTAGCAGAAATAGAATAGGTAAGTGTACTTTAGAATATGTGCTTAAGAACAATAAAGACAGAGCCAGTGTTTTCTGGTTTATGTCTTCCGTAAAGAGTTCAAAATGTTATCTTCCCTGGGATTTTCTTCCCCTTTAAAATGGGAAATTCAGGTTCCATCTAATTTCTACTAACTGATACTGTGTACAACTACAGAATTCAGAAAATGAACATAGAAACTAATTCACTAAAAACATGATGGAAAACATTATTCTCTGTAATTAAAAGCCACGACTTTTTGAGCTTCTTGGTTCGAAAGTCACATATTTTCAGTATTAGTGGCTGACAAAATATGGGAGAACACTCATCTTGCACTGAAAACCTCAGCAGCCGCATTAACTTCAATTCTATAATCCTCCAAATTCACACCTCACATCCTCAACAGGTCCAACCAAAACACATCAGTAAAGACTTATACTTGACTTTCCCAATAGTTAGTTTTGTGACAGAAAATACCAGACAAAACTCAGATTTCAGAGTTTCTTTGCACCATGTAGAAGTGGATGATAACCACTTCCTTCAAAAATAATTTGAAAAATAACATAGAAAATAAGATGACTAAAGTTGTAAGCACAACAGGAAGAAACAAGGCAAATGCTAAGGATTAGAGCAAAGAATGCAGCAACAAATTGCTCAGTGCTCATTAGCACATTAGATTATTTCAGCACAACTTATTTTATGTGTATTTTCCAATTTACACAACAACAAAATGCAAAACAAATTACAGTGTTTGGTTGTTCAGTGTGATACTATTCGGGAAACTGTCAAATCTGGAATAATGCAGAGTGAAAAGAGAAGAGTGCCAGTTGAAAATAAATAACTGTCATGCAAAACTAGAGTGCAAACAACTTTAAAACAAAGTACAATTACTAACTATGTAATTATATGAAGTGAAGTGAGATGATTTGATTACGTTTCTTATGCATGAAGACAACTTTTTACTACTACTCATTTCCAGAATCAGAGGGAAAAGTAGATATCTATGAGTAGATATTTAGGTAGCCAGGCTTTGAACATTAACACAGACAAAAGTCTTTCATTCTGGTTCTTCTGAGGAAAAGAACAAGCAAGAAAATACTGAAAAGGTTACAACCAACCTAAGATCCTAGCCATTATTACAACTTAAGGAAGATATTATTCTTCCCTTTCCAGCTTACCTCATGTATGTTTTTAAAAACCCAGGACAACTTCATAGAAGTTTGTTGTGTTGAAAAAGTAAGAAAACTTGGTGCTAAATATCGATCATTCCCAGTCAAGAAATGAAGCACTGTAAAAATAACATGGATTACCTGTTTCAAAAGAAAACAGTTACTTAATTTTTAATCTCTCCTTTTAAAGGTTTCTGATCAATTATCTTTAAAGGATGATGACACAGATGAAAACTGCTGACATAGATGAAATTCAGAAAGCTAAAATTCTGTTAGAAAATCCTTAGATGGGATTTGAACAGATAGCATTCCCACAACAAATACTATAGGAATGAGCACCTGCACTAAGCAAGTCTTTTACTGACTTCTGCTGCCACACTGATAGAGACTGCCCTGCGTTGCAAAGAGAGGTCACCTGCATGAGCACAACGCACGATGTGGTTGACAGTGTTACTTCCAGTGAAAGTTCTCCTATAGTAGACAGGCTCTATCATATTCTACTAGGTTAACCAAAATTTAATCATTAATCGAATTTCCATTCTCAACAGACCACAGTGGCAAACCCAAGAATTCAACTTCTTATTGTGAATGTGCTAGTTAGTTTTCACTTACAGGAAAAGTAACTTCAGTTTTTCCACTTATAGAATCTTTCTTTTTTGAAGTTATGAAGCACAAGCATGAGCAGCATGAAACGTGCCTTCTATAGACAATCTGAGCAAAGAATACATTAAAAAAAACCCAACCTAACAAACAAAAACCACAAACCACTGCCAACCAAGAACTACCAACATCCAAAAATCATGCTCTAGCAATGTTAACATGCAATATTTAATACAACAAATAGACTAAAAAGAAAATGAGTGCTAGACCTACAGGTATCTTTTTCCATAATTAATTACCTTAACACTAGTGGTAATGCATTTTTTCTTGGTACTATCTTCCATGCTTATCTTGGCTCAGTTAAAAGTTTTTAGGCCACAGCACATATATTAACATGTTAACAGAGTATTTCATATATTGCTCTTACTCTTGATGAAAATTAAACAGTTCTAGTATGTCCAAGCAGTATTTAGCTTAGCAGTTTTTACCTTCAGCAGAAGGGACTTATTCCAGGAGTTCACAAGTTGAGCACTTCTTAAGTCCTGCCAACTTATGAAATTATGAAAAGGTTTCCCTGTCCTCCTGAAAAACAGTAGTTGAACATCACCATTTAAAACTAAAGAACATACACTGCCAAAAAGTTCCACATTATTCACCATTTCCAATCAGGACACTTAACACTAAGTCAATTCCTAAAATAAGCATGTGTCCCTCCTGGTGGGTTTGAGGAATTAGTAATAGGCATGTGGACACCTTCAGTGAAATTTCTTATTGGAATTAAAAAATACGTATGTATTAATCTTTTCCAAAGTAGTAAAAAAAAAACAAAAAGGACATACATTTGAAACCATTCTAAACTGCTGTAAGGTGTGGCTGTGCATGCACAAGAGAACATGAGTGACTGACATTTGTTACTTTCAGGTAGCGACTTTACACTTCTAGAGTTGCTTCCATCCAGTCTATGAACACAAATTCATTTTAAACTAGACTAGAGTATACATACTTGTGCCATGTAATGAAAGTCGCTCTCTGCGTTGAGATGCCAAGACCAGCAATTTGCCTCATGTGAAGTCCTGCAGCTAAAGATCAAAGACAAACCATGCCAAAAAAAAGCATTTATTATAGGAGAAACAAACACAAATACAACTTTTCCAATATAACTATAAAACCTATGGAATACTTAAGAAATTAATAATTTAACAGAAAATAAATCTCTACAGACCGCTCAACTAAGTGGCTAGAACAGTGAAATATTCCAGAACTCTGATTCAGACAACTGACTGCAGAGCAGATAAATAAACCTATGTATTTTACAAAAGCAGTTTTGGCACACTGACCCCTTCCACCTTCTGAAAGGCCTTTGATACTTAACTTCAACAGCCCCAGAGACAGGTGAGCAGGTTACATAACCAATTAAAATGTGCATTTTACATGGAAGAATGTGAATGAAAGCACAAACAGAAGCATCTCAACAAACTTATGGAAAGAAATTCCCCAAAGAAACAAAACTAGATTGATTCTACAGGCAATAAAGAAATTAATGTCAATACGGCCATTTTGTACATCTCTTTGATAATGACATGTCCTACCTTAAATATTATATTCCTTAAGCAATCTTTCAAAATTTATAAGAACAAATTTGCTTAAATGAAGTATCACTGAATGCAAAGTGTACTTCAAATTTAGAAGTATAAAAATGTACATTTGTGTACACACCAATTTTGCTGTTAAACTTTACCTTCAAGTAACTGTTACAGAACACTTTTTCCAATAAACATAATGGTAAATAATTAAATATGTCCACAGCTGTTTTCAAAGCAGCTCTGTTCAGCTCATGCATGCTTACAGAAGCAAAATATATGAAAACAAGGTAAATCTAAAAGTTCCACTTAAATGACAGCCTACCTTTTGTTTAAAAGTACTGCTACTCTGTGAAGGGCTCTCAATCCCGCTACTTGACCAGATCACAGGTTAAGTAGGTGCTGCTCATGCATATTCTTATGTAAACTTTCATGTGCAAAGTTACTCATTTGCATAAGCATATACTGCAGCCTCTGTAACTGACAGCCTCTGAGTGACAATTACAGAAGGGGTTTCATAAAGAAAAGGCACATCTTGCTCCGTTGACCACTCCATGTGCTTCTGCACCCTCCCTTACACTGGTCCTTGCATTCACACAGGCAGTGGTGTCAAGGCCCTGAGTCAGCTGAAAATTAAATCAGTGCTTTCGCAAAGCTACCTGCTCCAACTGCCCGCACAGGTGCTGCTGGCAGCGAGAGCACATGGGAGGAGGACCTGGGAGTGGGTGGCTTGAGAACAGCAGTACTTTTTTCAGTAGCAGCTGGGTCTAAACTGAAGGCAAAGCCATACCAGTAGTACTGCAGCTCACTACAGGTTAGTAGCATGTGTTACTCCTCCCCATCTCCACGAGCTGCATGCTCCCACCACTTTCCCTGTGTCAAACGCCCTGCTCCCTGGACCCCTACGTGAGAAGAGCCAACTTCCATTAAAGAGAAAAATAAAACAGAACAAAACATGGCTATTTTTCAGCTAAGCTGGAAGGGTTGAACGAGTACCAGAGTGAGAGGGAGGAGTGAGACCACGCAGCCAGATGCAGTTTCCACCTTTAGGAGGTACTGAACTACCTCAGCTCACCCACTCATGCACAGTCACATGTTTTAGCTCCGCAAGCCCTGTAAACCGAAGCACTCCCATGCCTTCTTTCAGCTTTTAGAGTCTCATTCCTGCCCCTGGCACCACACCCTCTCTTGTGCTGGCACAAATATTCGTGAAACTCTGCTGGCATAAACAACTGCACAGTGACTTGACCCAGGAAACCGCTCTGGACTTGAAATAACCTTGTAAATAGGGAGGGTGGGACTCCTGCCTCCAACAGCAGCGTGGGCTTATGCTCACTTATGTCACACAACCACTGAAAAATGACTTGCCAACAGCGCACAGAGCTTGGCCACAATAAAAGTTTCCCCTTTTAAAACTAGCTGAAAAATCTCGCTTCCTGATTTGCTCCACAGAATGGGAGCAGAGGAAGCTAGTAAGGTCTTCAGGGGTTGAGGTGACATCGCTATTCTTGTGACAAAACAGTTGTGGCTGCTGAGAAAACAGACCAGGAGCCCAAAATAACGATCTGCAGCTTACACCTGGCAACAGTTACTTTCCCTGTCCCCTAGGCTGCTTTCCAAAGGAAGAGACAAGAGCAGTTTTGCCGTGAGCCAGGCTTGGGGGCAGAGCAATACTGGGAGACCAAACTGAACAGGAGGGAACTTCAGGCACTGAATGAAAGAATACGATGCACACACACGTGACAAGGAGGCTGGGGCACTGTACGAAAGTAAGCTGGGGTGCAGCTGACAGATCCATGGCATCAAAGCAGCACAGAAGGTGATCCATGATGGATCACAGAACGCTACAGCTGGTGTAATAGGCAAGCTGTGGGAGTTGTAGAGAGCTGGCACATGGTTAGAACAGCATCCAGAAGCAGGGGGGGGGAAAAACACTTCAGAAGTTTGGCAGAAAGGGAGTTGTGGGTGTTACAGTGCACGGAGTACTAGAAAATTTTAGGCTAAAGTACAAACAGAAAAGAACAGTAACACAGAAATCAGAGGGTAAGAACTGTGTGTAGTTTGAATGGCAAAAGTGGGAGTATCAGGTTGTAATCGAGGCAGCACAACTATGCAGCACCCTGACTTCATTCTCTCATAGACACATCCCCACAGACAAAGCAGCAGTAGGATAGTGGGGAAGCAGAGGAGGAAACAAGCCTACTCTGTTTGTACACAGAGGCATCTGGAGGAAGGAAGACAGGCACTGGGGAAGGATCAATATACAAAAAGCTGCAGCAACAAGGAACTGTCACTGACATCTAAATCAAGTATGAAGACTGCTTCTGCTTCTACCTCTATCCTAGTCTGGCCCCACAGAATGAAAACAAGTAACTGAAGTTTCTATTTTATGTAATGATTGAACAGGCCTTAAATTATGTTGTAGATCTGTGCTCAATGATGAGTTTTCAGTACTTTTCAAATCAATAAAAATAACCCTATTATCTAATTAACTAACTTTCCTAATTTTGATGAAGAATTAATTACCTTCTCAGACTTTATAAGCCATTACCTTGTACAGCCTCTTTTATTACACCAACAAACTGACTCCACAGCACTTCTGGATCTAATTCAACCCAGCCAGGACGAGGATAAAGTGATTCCACCTGTTAACAGAAGATACACAGCACCATTATGATCCCTACTTCACAAAAACCAGCATTCTTATGATAGTTTGTCCAAATAAATTTGGAGTTTCTCTTTTTTTTGTACTTAATTTTCTGAATCTACTGGAACAGAAGAAACACCAGTGCTTGCAACTTTTAAAACACAGTTGAAAGTGGGTGTGTGATCCCTAGAAGACTTCCTCAGTTCGGAGAGAATAAAGAAGCCCAAACCCTCAGGAACGGGGGACACACATAGGCTGTTGGGGCTCCAGACTGGAACCGAGATTTCTCAAAGAGCTCCACAGCCAAACGGCGAGTGGGAACAGAAGCACAGCAGGCCAGGGAAGGGTCAGCCCCGCTCACAGCATCCCCTTCCATCTCTGAAAACCCACCCGCTGTCTTCAGCCCCCCCTCACCGCAATCATTTCATTGCCACAGCTAACAGTAAAATAGTTAATTCTGGAAATCGCCTTGATCCCATAATCAAAAGCCACGCAAACCAAAAGCAGCCCGAAATTCACGTTCCAAAGTTAACACTGTCTTTCTTTTTTTTCTTCCTCCTTCCCCAGCGCATAATGGGCTGTGTGTCGCTGCCAGCCCCGCGCCGGCCTCCGCGGCTCACAGAAGCCGTTTTGTTGGGAGCGGGATTAGCCACCGAGCGGCTACAGCCAAGGCGGGGGGGCCGGCGGGCGGGAGCCAACGCCGAGAGGTGAGGGGGGGACGCGGCCGCGGGGCTCCCCGCCGGGCTGGGGGGGGTCTCGTTTCGCCCCGAACGGTCGGGGGAGCCTGGGGCAGCCGCCTCCCCCCGTCCCGGCTCGAGGGGTGCCCGCGCCCTGGGAAAGGCCCGGGTGAGCCCCGCCCGCAGGGACCCCGCCCGGCTGCGGGACCCGCTGAGGGGCCTGGAGACCCGCGGGCCGAGACCGCTCGGGGCAGCGCGGGCACGTCCGGCCCCCGCTGGCGGGCGCCCTGAGGCGAACGCCGCCCGGGGCTGCCCGCGCCCGCCCCGTCCCGGCGAGGCCGCCG